AAGTAAGACGTGATGTGACGGTGTGATCAAGTATTATGATGTCAACTTTGGTGAGTACGTTCCAATTGTTTTCTTCTCCGCTTTAAAATAACAAATAGAAGTTGTATTTGTTAGCTTTTTGTGTAAATTTTAGAATGGCTCAATTTTAATATTTTGTCGTGTCTACCCTATTGATCAATTATTTACCGTAACTTGAATGTCCTGCTTGGAATTACGTCTAATTTTAAATTCTTGCTAAAAAAAAAGAAGACATGCCTAATAAGAGGCGGCAGAGTAGGAGTCGGTCGCGAAATCGCAGATCGCATTCTAGCCAACATGATTCACGCTACAGACGACGTAGCCCTTCTAGCAATATTTTAACCGAAACAATGCAACAAATTTTGAATAGATTGGTGTCATTAGAGGAACAACAGGTAATTGTCTTCATTTCAACGAAAGGAGTGTAGTGGCCGCGCTGCAGTGGAAGTAGCCAAGTCCGCGGTGCCTGTGGCAACCATCAGCGCCGAGCCCCTTCTTGCCGTTGAGCCTGTCGTGTCGATGCCGCCGCCGTCGCAGTTGGGCGAAGCTGTGACTCAGAGCTCGCTTCAAGGGCGCACTTCAGGCTTCAACGACTCCGTCCTCACCGGAGCGTCCCGCGAGCGCTACCTCAGTCCAGGCCAGCGCCGCCGATCGCATCATCGATGCGATACGATCCATAAATATACCGGTGAGATTTAACCAGTCTTATTATATTTCTAATTTATGGTGTGAAGAAGTAGACCGTGCTAGGTCTTCTAATAATTGGAGTGATCACGAATGTCTTTCTCGCATTGGCAATTGTTTACAAGGAGATGCTAAAACGTGGCTCAGTGAATGGGTAGCGAATGACCGCAGTTGGAGTAATTTTAAAAACGAATTTAAGCCTTTGTCTTTATAAGATTTTTTTTTATATATATAATATTATAATATTTTAAATCTAACCTTATTTAATAAGAATAATGTAGTTTCAGTGTGAATTGTGGGATGAAGTGTATTATAATTTAGAGAGTTAGAAAGCTGATGTTTTCTTCTGAGAAGATTTCCAAGAACCATGTGGTAATTACATTGTGTTTTTTAATACAATAGTACTATATTTGGTATTTTTTGTTGTTTTGACTATTATTCTATCTCACTACATATATCATACAAATAAAGTATCAATGACTACACTTGATATTTTATGTACGTAAATAAATCTTATTTCATATTTACGTTAAAATGTTACTAAATGTTTTTATATTCGTAATTACTTAGTAAAAGTCAATGAAATGAAGGTTCGCTTTGAAATTGTATAGAAGTTCTTAATAAAATAACAGGTAATGCTTCACAAAACCGAATCAAGCCAAATTTCCATTACATATGTCTTAAACGATAGGGAATATTCTTACACTGTTTTGGAAGTTTTTTTGGAGTCGTAACTTAAGTTGAAAAAATAACGAAGAAAACTACATAGGGTAAGTTAAGTTTGAAACAATATCAAAAAAGGAACAATAGAAAAGCGCAGGATAAGTAAAGCTAGGTTTATAACATGTAATAAAACACCAAAAGCAAACTGGAAAGGTTAGGTTTGGAACATTTTTAATACCATAAAAAACATCGAAAATGCGAAAATATTTTCTGTTATAATTCTTGTTATTTTATAAAAATTGTGAGTGTCAGCATACCTGTGACAAAACTGAAAGCATATGAAACAATTTTATTATCTCACTGAAATAAATTAAGACCCCGAAAAAAAAATCTTCATATTAATATATTCATCTTCAGCAATCTTCATAGCAATAATACTCATGGTGATCATTTCCTAAAGTTTAAAATTGATTTTACGAAAACTTGTACCAAATAAAATTATTATTCAAATGTTTATTGTTGTGTTTGGGTCGGACTTTAAAATGGGACTGTGACTCACTTTCCAATGACAAATTGACAGAAATTTATTATAAAAAAAAGTTACCAGCAGTTACATCCAACCTCTGAAGTTTCTGTAACTTATTAAATAATAAGAATAAGCTTTACAGTTATAATTAATTACAAAGGAAGAACATTGTATGAACAACTTATCAATTGTTAATACTTTCTGTTTTTAGGTGTGAAACAAGTAAAAAGTAATAGAAAACATAATCTATGGATTCACAGAAATAGAATTTGAATAAAGATATAATTTTACATTCTATTCATATTTAAAAGAACTAAATGATGAACTAGAACTTATGACCTTTTGCTGATTGCTAAAAAATAAATTAACAACAAAAATTGATGAAAATAACATAAAAGTAAGTACAAGACATATGCCAAATTCTACATGGTAAGTGGTAAATATTAAGTAATTCCCAAAGCACATATTTCCAGCAATTACTTGAACAATTTTAACCTATTAAATTGGCTTGATATTTAGTATAAAATGGTTTGCTCGAAATATGAAAAAGATTCAATAATAAAGATTAACTTAAACATTATTTAGGTTGTGTAGAATATCTCTCTATTATTGTTTCAAATATTGTAGATCAACCTGTAAATTGGTCATGTCATGGCAAGTTTTTCAAACTAATTTGATTTATGATTCTATCATAAACATTTCACAAAAATGGGCAGGCAATAAAAGTTCCTATTTGTACCTGTAAAAACTAATCATAATTTTTTACATGGTTAGTGAGTTCCATCATTGTAGAGAATTGCAAAGAAGTTTTGTAAGTAAATGGGGAGAGATCCATATAATCAAAGAAAACCAGTTTTTTAAATAAGGTATGTTATTAGGTGAAAAGCAATAATTACATTGATTATGTTGTACACTTGAATCAATTAATTACAATTTCATTCTGTTGCAGATGAATAAATGCACCTCTTCAAAGTCTACAGAATTATTAAATGAAGGAATCTGCTTCAGAATTACTGACTGCATGTCGCTGCAACATCTGTGCTACAAAGTTTGATTGTTTGAAATATTGTAATTCTAAACTAAATTTTGAAAAATAACTTTTTATATGGAGTAGTTTAACCGCAAATCTAAAAAAGAGTCACCATGATGCAGAAAATGCTAGTAATTTTATTAATGTCAATATTGATATATAGATGCCAACCTGTGTGTAACGTATAGATTTAGTGTTTTATATTAGTTTGATGTTAATAATATGACAATTTTTAGTAATATGTATTAGACTTTAATATAAAATATACACTAGCAAAACAAGATTTTCTCGAAATTGGGAAATGCAGTGTATAGAAAATAAAAATATAGGGAATTAAGTATCAAGTACAAGAGATAAAAAAAATACCATTTAGTGAAAAATATGAAACAAAATTAATTTATTAAATTTGGATGTTACAAATATCACAACTTATATATCTTAAACTTTTTTGAACTAAGTAATAAAAAATAAACCAAGATTGTATACAATTTTCTCAAGTAATTTAAATTTCAACACAGGTACTTTACCCCAAAATGCCTCCTAAGCTCATTATTTTTCCTCGTTAAGGAATCTATAGGTTACACATCTATGGAGAATAGTAATAACAAAAGAGTTCATATGCAGAATCTTTAGGTTCATGATAATTTTATGAATTTATTTGAGAAGTAAAACTTAAATATTGTATTCTATTTTTACATTACATAATATTTAACATGACTTGTACATTTGCAATGTTTTGATAGGAAAAGTTTGGATTAGGGGACTATTTGGAGCGTCGGCAGTGCAGTTGGCGCTTGACCGGATCATATTTACATATCCAGGTACGATCTCCGATATATAGTAATGCGTTCTTCGAATTTCTTGATAACATCCATCCGACATTCTTACTGTAATTACAAATCGCATACAACTGCATAGAAATTCAAAGATATGTGTGAAGTCAACCAACCCTCACTGGCTCTGCGTTGTTGAATAAAACCTAGTCGCATTCTTGAGGGTAGGCTCCGAGCTCCTCAGTGGAATATAGTGTGTCCGTATAGTGAGCTTGATGATGACGATTTGTTTTGCTTCAATGCATATTGTCTTGATAGCAATTTTCTAAATATTTTACCAACAGATAGGAGCTAATCTCTTTCCAGTGCTAACTGGAACAAATAAGCATTTATTATAGTTGGGGTATTTTGTTGGTGAACTAAACAATAATGGTATTATTACGAAAGCAATGAGCATTATGTTGCGTTCTTAAAACATGTTCGCTTTAGTCAGAAGATTAAATTAAAGTTGCAATTAACGAAATTGTTTTATTTTTACAAATTGTTTTCCCTCAAATAATACTTTCAAACGTCAAAAAGGAAACTGACAGATAGATTTTTTTAGGTTGGTAGCAACGTAGACTTGTTCATAATATTGCTAGCATTGAAAATGTCAATTTTTATTCTCCGTTTGTGTATCTAATTGGTCAAGAGTCTCGTCGCTTAATTTATATACTCTTTGATGGCAACATCGACCTGAGTGCTTTGTTGTCTTTGGTCTCTTTCATTGTCAAACTCTGACAAAATGGTACGGTTAATGCTAAATATTTCTAAATCAAGTTTAATCTAAACATTTAATTAACTTATATTAAAAATAATGCTGGAATTAAATTTCAATCCCATAATTTTATTGTTCAAAATATGTATTTGTGATAAAAGTGATGTGATATAACCTATTCCAAATTTCAGACGAAGGGTACCTCAAGTTTTGGTAAGCGGCGTAATAAGACCCACACACTATGCCGAAGATGTGGTAGATCTTCGTATCACATTCAGAAATCAAAATGTGCACAGTGTGGTTACCCGGCTGCGAAACTCCGTTCTTGTAAGTATTTCTTTTATTATGTTCAATTCGAAATTCTGTGCTGTTCGTTCTTAAGGTTATATTTATTAGTAGTAGAAGTGTTTTAGTTAGTAATTCTGTCATAACAATATTATTTGGCTATAGTGCAGTGTTGTAAAACCTGATCATCTAAATAAAAATATTTGTTTACATCAGCTTCGAGTCAGGTTAGTTTCAATACCACACATTTGCCAACTGTCACGCAACAAGAATTTGTTGACTTCCTCAGCCTTAGGAACATACTTTTTTCTTGATGCAATTGTGTACTTTATATTGAGATCCAAAACCTGTCTGAAAGTTGAAATCTTAAAAAAATTATATTTAGTATGGTCTTTTCCTGTTTAAATTCCTAGCTAGTCTTATCTATCTACTAAATTTAATCTAGATCCATGCAGCCATTTTGGAGGTAACTTCTAACAAATCCATCCATTAAACTTTAACATGTATAATATTAGTAAGATTATTCCTACACTGATTGAGGATGCTTACTCAATGTATGTGTCCTTGTATAATGTAGGTAAATAGTACCAAATATTGGTGATATTCAAGTGTACATAAATTTTACACAATTTACACCAATATCTGACATGAACATTATTTAGTGGAACATCTTGACTGGTACTCCATTTCATATAGGAATATTTTCCTAATACGAAATTTGAGATTTATATAAAGTGTTATATTTGCATATTTCCAGACCACTGGTCAGTGAAGGCTAAGCGCAGGAAGACCACTGGCACAGGCCGCATGCGTCACCTCAAGATTGTCCGAAGGCGTTTCCGCAATGGTTTCAAGGAAGGCAAACCTACACCTAAGAAAGCTGTAGCCTCATCGTAGATTTATTGCCCAACATCAATAAAAACCTAAAATCTAAACATTTATTTTATTTTGGTATCTATGTGATATGTTTTATAAAAATTGATTTACATGTTTTTAATAACCCAAATATCAATGTTTAAAAAAATCTTCAAAAATTCTACAGAATTCCATATTTATAGCTTTTGCAAAGTATCAGGTTTTATTCAATTTATCATTATAAAATGTTTTAAACAAATTTGTACCTTTGCAAAGCTAGGATGTGATGATGCTAATATAGAATATTTTATTGTGTGATGATTGAGTTTACTTTGTAAAAAGTTTTTAAATATTATTACAGATCAGACAAAAAATGGATTATAGGTATTAACTCAACTCAGAACTTGGAAAAGAAATAAAATATCAGTTTTATCCAATTAATAGATAAGATTTTCCATGCCTTGGAATGTTGTTATAGGCAAAGTTGATTGTGTTAGGACATACAAGTTCTCAGCTCCCAGCTAGTTGCAAAGGTTATGAGAAAAACTGCATGCAAGAAAGAAACATTTCAAGAATTATCTTACAAGCTGTATTTTTTGTTGGCATCTGTTTTATTATATTAACTAATATGATAGGTATGTACTTTTTATATTTTAATTAATAGAAACAAATAAATATAGGTAGAATTGGTAAAAAAGATTGAATTTCAGTTCCTGACATGTCTGTTAATTATCATACTAATATTATAAATTAGAATGTATGGATGGATAAATGGATTACTTTTTTTGTTTGAAAGTATATCCAGAACGGCTGCATGGGTTTCGCTGAAATTTGGCATAGCTGTAGAACATAGTCTGGAAAAACACATATGCAACCAATTAAGTTTTAATTTCGGGCGGACGACAGCTAGTTGCATCATAAAAATGAAAAAATAACTTTAATGGGCAAACGTCTATGTTTACAAGTTCGTTACATGGTCATCATACTTAATAAACCTAACTATATTACTTTGATTATACCATTTTAAGTAGGATTTGAACCCACTGCCATTAGTCGAAGCTATTTCCATGTCGGTCCAGATCATCGCTGAACTCTGGACAGTATGCCGTGCCGCAACGTTTTGCTGACGTTCTCGGAAAGATGTTCCGTGGGTTCTATACCGCGCTCGCTCACTCACTCGCTATGCGGGCTTCGTCATCGTAATTATTTATTCAGTCTTTTGCTGACTTCCAGTGGGTGCAGTGGTGCCTGTTGATTCGCGCGTATTTCGTAATGCTTTACCTTCACACTCATAATCTTATCCAATATTGCCATTGAGCGATAAGTTATCATTTACTGTGACACGATGATAAATAAATTTACAGCACTTGCGAGTTGTGCGACTCAGTAGTGATTAAATATTGTGTATTGGTGAATAATGAGTGCGCATTAACGTTAGCTTACTAAAAGTTTATTTTAATTTATATACAGTTTTAAGTGATTTTGCACAAAAATGTCATTATTTAAGAAGAAGGCACCAAAATATAACCCTCCCCCCGCGCCGATGCCCGCGGAAGACATTGATAATCATCAAAGTAACGGCTTGGACAATAACAATGGTTCACAGAAGTCACAACTAGTGTTCCACTGTCAACAGGCGCAAGGCAGCCCACTCGGCCTCATATCTGGATTTTCTAACGTAAAGGAACTTTATCAGAAGATAGCGGAATGTTACGACTTTCCTCCGGAAGATGTAAGATTTTATTTATATTACTATTACAATGTCATTGTTATCGAATAACTTGATAATTGTGCTTTATTAATAATAGCGATAAATGATTAATGGAGACTAGAAATTATCATCTTTTCGGCGGCGATAAAGTAAGAAGTTAATATGTAATTGCGCGTAGACAATACGGGATTTAAATCTCGACCAAACCGCAATCTTTAAAACAGCAAATTGTCTCTCATTCAATTTGTACTTACAGTAAAATTAACTAATTATTGAGTAACAACAACAGTACATTAATAATGTACAACAATGCAATTATGACCAATTTTAATGATCTAAATTATAATGAATCATTAACGTTGTTATCAATGGACTCATGCATTAAAGTATTGGTTTTCGCTTTAAAAGTGAATAATTCTTTACAAGGATACACTGATAAAAAGATTTTCCTTGTTCAATACATTGCACTAATATTTCTATAATCACTGTTTAGTTTCTTTAACAATGGTTTAGTTCACATTAAACTGTAGCTATTACTAATGGATTGTAATAGAATTCCTGTGTATATAACTTAGGTAAATTGTATATAAATTAAACTTACGATATCAGTTCCGTCTCTAGAATAACACAATATTACGTCTGTTTACCAAAAAACCTAATAATTGGGTGTGTCAATGTGTAACAATAAACGGATTTACAATACGAAACTTGTCTGGCAATCAAATTATAATTTAAAGCACGCAAACTTAAGGAATTAATGTTTAGCAATACACCTGTATCCACATAGATATAATACTGTGACTGGCACTCAACACTCGGTGGACCAGAACTCAATGTAACACAATCATATTACAGAAAGGAAGGACATGATACATTGATAAATGACACAACCAGTAAAATAATATCACGTATTTATTAGTAGGTAGGCAAAGCTTATGCCTACTCAAAATTCGTTTTTAACCAACTTCAAATAGAGGTAAATTCGGTTAGTTGTTTTTCATGTATTATGTTACCAAATAACTTCACAACTGGTGGACCGTTTTTATTTAATTTCAATTACTTTCTAATTTAACGATTTCGTCATTGGTTTTTAGAACAAAAAAAATAATTAGGGCTTTTATTTTTTTTCAAGCTATCAATGTACTATTTATATAAAATAGATTTATAGTCTTTAGAAAATGGATATCAAAGTCGCGTTAATGCAGTGTTATTTAACTGTGATAAAAAAGAGCATACCCAGAGGCAGTTATCAAATGAACGTAAACTGGTTCAAGCATCTCTCGTGTCAATGAGGAAAGGGAAGTTGTTAACTTTGCAGCGCAGGTCGTTGAGCCAATTCTTGTATGGACAGAGTTGATTGTGGGTGTAACATGATACCCAAAAAGTGCATCGAGCAAGAAATCCAAAATCGAAGGCCGTATTTTTTTTAACGGATTATTAGTGAATTATAAAGTGGTAACTGTTCCCTTATCTTTTTCAAGCCTAAAATTTTATAATATCAAATATAGAGACCGGATTTAAATTATTTTATCAAGGTTTTAGTAAGCTCCTAAAAATATTTTATTTGTATGTACATGCAGAACTGAAGTCGTGTTATAAAGTTCGTCGTTTACTTAATATTTAAATATTTCGTATTGTTGAGGTACAAAATTATTCAAGTCTGTCATAAATCATATCACCTAAATGTTCTATTGCTTGTTGTGAAAATCAAACCTAGGATGGTAGACCATTGCTTACATTAACCATTGGTTCAGAGATTAGTCATTAACTTTATCGATTATAAAACTTTCCTATACGTGGTTCCTCGTTGGCTAATAATGTTCTTAGAAGCCAATAAACTCTTACGGGATAGAAAATGTATGTTGTTGAAATATCCATTATAGTAGATGGATTCTCATAATTGTTTACGAGATTCATTTTATAATATAAACATAGTAGAGAAAATTTATGTTTCGCTTAAACGTGGGGAAACACCCAATAGATTTATGATGATACAATAAATGTTTAATTTACCCGACATGTGCATTAAACGCTTAAAAACTAAAAAAATATATAACCTATATAAGGTCCTTGATGTAACTTTAATTCAGATGGTACAATATCAGACAAACAATAAAAACAAGAATAATTAAGTTTTGACATGATTGGAGTTATTTAAATTTAGTTAAAACTAGTGTATATTCTATGACTGGCAGGAAAAAAAAACATAATCCAAATCAACAGATAAAAAATAATCACATAGAAAGATAAATAATCCATTATGTTTAGATTAAGTTTTATTATCTACACGTATAAGCGATAGGTTCTGTAAATTACATCATATCAATTTCGATTTAAGTCAAAATCATTCAGATATTTTTAATCTGTACCTTCCTAATATTCTCAAAAAATAAGAGAAATAACACGCTAATGAGGTATTTAAGTAATTGTGGTAAAATTAAAAACATCAATTTAAAACTCAAACGTCGTTAAAACTTCACCTTAATAGCAAATTATCACCTCCAACGTAGTGTTAATCACATTACTAGAAATAAAAAACAAATGATGTTGAAATTTCTGTTGAAAATTACTCACAACAGAAGACAGTAGCTAACAAACGTATTTTATTTAAATTTGTCACTTCTTGGAGACAAATTTATAGGCGACTATGTTACTAAATCAGAGTAGAGTTATATGTATCTTTACAAGACTTTTAGACCGTTTATAGCGTTTTTATTAAAATAATTTTATGTTTTAAAGATGTTATCAAACATGTAATGCATGATAAAAAGTATCTGTATTGTTAAAATTATCTTATCACTAGGATTAATTTATTGAACACTTCTTAACCACCGCGGATAAGTGAAGACAGCTCTTATTTTAAAACTGCCTGCCTGATTTATTTTGCAGTTTGTGTAAAACGACATACTTTCTGATTTCGTCGTTTGTGTAAAACTGCTGGATTGATTGATTGATTGACCCTTTGTGTAAAATTACTTGGTTAATTTTGCTGTGTTTGTAACTGCTTGATTGATTTGGCAAGTATATTGTAAAGTAACGCTTCTTTTTCCTCGATTTTTTTATATTTATATACTTCCTAGTTTTCAGAAGCATAAGATTTTGTTGTTCAGTACATTATTACATTGTTAAAGACTTTCTTTATCACGAGTTTACTTTACCGTGAAAAGATTAGCTGACGTCGCGTTGCGCACGTTATTTTCCATTTTGTTATCTAAAAATTGCAATATTAATCACTCTTAGCATATTTTAGTGTTTTCCTTGAAAAAAGTCTGGCAGGTTATATCACTACACAGATTTGATAAAAACAATTACTACGTTTTGCTTACCTTTCATAATATTTTTGATATTCTTCATTTAAATTATTCCGTCTGCGCGGAATTGAAAAAAACCTAATTAGTAGCCTATGTGTCCTTCCAAACTATGATCTACATCTATGTCAAATTTCAACCGGATCCGTACAGTCGTTCTGGATATATCTTCAAACAAACATCCATCCATCCATCCATCCATCTAACCATTCGCATTTATAATATTAGTAAGATTTGTAAGTCAACCGTTTAATTATTCTCATTGAAGGATGTCTTCTGATAGAATAATCAATATTATCTACTGATGACTATAGTCGAGTCTCAGAATTCCTTCTCTTTTCTAATAAATTATGTAGGATATCTTATAACAAGCTAAGGATTGTCATGCACTGACCACAAACTAGTTTAGTCTTCGCACCTGGCTGCCTGCAAGTATAATAACTTTCCATTTTCTGCAGATAGTAACAGATAACATACAAATGGTATTCGTAATTAAGCAAGAGTGAAGGCATAAAACGACCACAGTTTTAATTTAATTTAAACGTGAATCATATTACTTAATTACTTATGCAATAAAGATTTCAAGCCTTCAGTCTTAAGAAAAATGTAATTGTTATAAGTGAGAAGGAATAGAGTTGACGTAAAATTGTAACGAGAAAAATTTGTCGTTGTGTTAACATTAGCTGAACTTGGACAAGGAAGTACTAGGATCCCAGAAGTTAGACGTGAAGTAGATTTGGTAAGTGATGTGTGCCTTCGTACTAAAGTGAAATTACGTCAAAACGTGCCGAGTTTACTATGATAGACTCAACCATGTCATTAGGAGGTAAAGAACTGAAAATTTGTGCGTATAATAATGCATTTCAGTTATTCATGTAAGCAATTTATAAATATAATGCAAATCTTTGTATATGATCGAGTTTACTGAATTTCTGTCGATTTGGGAGACCGAATCACCTCAATTAATCGACGATAGATGTAACTATCTCTGTTATCCTTAAAATAAAAGGTCTTCGCTATACATTATCTTGAAACGTTGATAAAATGTCTTGTTATATAATATTTCGTTCGACATTTGACAATGGACGTCCTTGGATGAGTATCAGTCGACCGCGCTTCGTAAGGTCGAGACAAAATGGCACGAACACTGCAATAGAGTTATTTTACTTGTGAAAAAACTTAACACCTCCCTGAAGCAATCGGTATGCCGGTCAAGTTTGTTGTGTCACTTTCTAAGGCGTATTAAAATTCAAGGTAGATTGGTAGTAAAGTCATTATTCCTTTTTACTTTAAACTTTTCGCTAGTCGAGTCACTATTTTTAGACATTATTACCTAGAATCCTTTGACGCGAATGGCGCGCTTTCGTTACAAAGTCAATTGTCAGAATGATTAGTAAGGGGACATAAACGTCGACATTAAGGTAAGGATGCGCCAGTACACCGGCACAGTGTCGGATTTTCTTTCTAAGACTATGTATTCTTAAAAATATTATTACTTTACAGTAAGATTATCTTTTTCCTTATTATCTTTCATAACATAACCGTGAGTTTTCACTGCCGGAAGATTTTTACAAAAACTTTGTTATTACATTATGTACGTTAGGCAGTGAAAACCGACGATTACAGAACACCGTTTGTTTTTAGACTAAATCAAACTAGGAAGAAGGGGTCATATTGTACTTTTATTCACAAAATTTATATAACGAACGAGTTATAAAGTGTCATTGCGGATATACGCATCGCTGGGTGGGCAGGAAGTGGTACTGGGGCGCAGTCTCTCGTATGGCGCGCAAGGCAAGTGATTTTGCTGACTGTACTAACGTATTACAAGATTAAAATTTTATGGTAGCACGTTGGTTACATGCGACTGATCTGCGCCAGGTCGACCAATACTAGTGGGGCTAAAATTGTGTTCTGCCTTTTGTCTCGTCAGAAATTGCGAGCCGCTTTCAAGTTTGAATAGCACTGTAGCATGTCTGACCTACTGGGTATGGGGTCAAGGACCGAGCGTACGCGCATTATAATGTAGGATAAACTATCAAAAACCAATATAAATAGCGTCTGTACATTTATTAACATCAATTTTAGTTGTTTTACGTTTATAAAGGTATTTTTAAATGTTGTTAAATAGAAGTACATATAATTCTTATGTTTACACTAAGGTATTTCGTGACGTTTCCCGGTAGGGCTTGATCATTTATTTAAACCGCAAAAACCACTGCGTGTATCGCGTAACCACTGGCTTCGTCTGGGCTTCGCCATTATCAATGACTCTGTGAACATTTTGCCAACATTTAAAAAAAAACTAAATAACGTTGTCTGATGACACAAAATAATTTTATGTGAAGGTGATTCAGAGGTTGCATACAGAGTGTGAATAAAAACGTCATAATTTCAACAGTATGTATTTTAATCTATACAGTTAATTAATGTCATTTTAGGAATCGTATTCTTTTACTTAATTAATATTATTTATACCGAAAAGTTAATTATAACTACTTCAATGCAAGAACACAATTAGGAAATTATATTTTTTGCGAAACTACTAAAAACACTACAGTAATACTGACGTGTAATCGCATTTATTCTTTAAATTATCATAGCATAATCGTTTCATGGTTAAGAAAATTAACAAGCATTGCCTCGTATGAACCTTACAACCTTGATGATGTGATAATTACTAAAATCTTTACAGTTTAACAGCAACGTGTTTTTATCCCAATTTCAGTCCACTTACAAGATTTATTAGCACTAATTATACCCTTCCTTTCTTCGTGGAAAATTTTCATAAGTTATACTAACAAAAGTACGTAGTATACTTGTCTTAACCTTTTTCTATATTTTATAATGGAAAAAAACTATTTCGTCATTTAAAAACTTTATTAAATACACGCGCAATATCTGATTGTAATATTATTTCACAGTCGTAGTTATGTATTGTAATAAAGACAAGGTAAGTAAAAATCAAGGTCAATGGGCGACAACTGTTCGCGGCTAAATTGATTTGCGTTTTGCTTTCACTGTAACAATCTGAACGAATTCTATACGGACTCAGACAACTTACGATCTTATATTTATTATGCTGACATTTTATTTATATTATTTCATATAAAATTAGTTTATAGAATAAAGTATTAAGTAAATATAAGGTCATTTAAACTTAAAATTGTATATCATAGTAAACAGAGAAACCTAAAATTTACTATCTGTATGTCACTCCGTCACCTCACTTCTCCCATTTCCATCTATGTTATATATTCTACAATGTTTATTTTTGCTTTTATAAATAATTTACATATTTTATTTGTTTGGAAATAACATTGTCACTGCTGTGTGAAAAAAAGTCATTCCCATTTGTCTCGGAAACCTATTCAAATGTTTCAAAGTTGGTATTACCATCAAAAACGTAGTAAATAAATGTTAATTATTTCAAAGAAGACAACATACAGAGATGGATGCTTTCGAACGACGTAACTGGTCGTTGTATAGTGAAAGTATTTGTACGACTGTTCACATTTGGAATATAAAAAGTTTTGTAGTAAAGTAAAACCATTTTAAATAGTGTAAAAAGAAAATAACTTTCCACATAAACGGTATTTGGAAGTTACCTCACTTAAAGACTTTTTAAGTTTTAAAATATTTATATGGCAATGTCGATTAATAATAATCGATAAATCATTTTATCAAATCATTTAAAAAAAATATATGATACATCCTGTCTCTTAGAGACACGAGCGAGAGGTCATTTAAAAAAATTACATCAATGCTTTTACTTTCGTTCCGTAATAAATTAGTGAGAATATTGGTATTTGCTTAATTAAATAGCTTAAAGTCACGCTACGAATACGAAGACTGGACTGTCTTTGTGTTGTTTTCATTTGATTGAAGAATTGATTGCAATCGTTTCATCTTACCTTAGTAATTGGTAACACGTTGCTGATGGAAGGTGGGACCGTGATTTACCGTATTTATGTCAATTTGAGCTAAAAGGAGGGCGTGTCATAATCATTTTTAAAGCGATATGGCGTTAGCGTTGTTCGATTTATGTCTTTAGTTCTACGTTTTATCGCTTACACGTGTAAAAGTAACGTTTTGTATGGTTTCAGATCCTATTTTGCACGCTCAATACCCACAAAGTAGACATGAGGAAACTCCTTGGAGGCCAAATAGGATTAGAAGACTTCATTTTCGCACACAGAAAAGGAAGACCTAAAGAAATCGAAATAGTTAAAACTGAAGATGCTCTTGGATTAACAATAACAGATAACGGTGCTGGATATGCCTTTATCAAAAGGATAAAAGAAGGTTCCATTGTTTCGAGAATACCGCATATAGAGGTAAGATAAAATGAAAATTATTATCTACATAAGCATACATAATGGTTACTTAGTTGTGTTTAGTTTGGCCTCCTTAAATAAAACCACAATTTTTCTTACTTTTATGCATAAACAAGTATTTCACGTAGGTATATGTTAAAAAAAAAACAAAGTATTAAGTAGAGCGCCAGGTCATTCACCTTGTTAAGACGAACAGGAAATAAACTATTGCGAGAATTAACAGCTTATTGTAGTCGCATTGTTAATCTTCAGGTCGGCGATCATATTGAGAAGTTGGACGGAGAAAATATGATCGGCAAGAGGCATTACGAAGTCGCTAAATTATTGAAGGAAATACCAAAAGGTACCACATTCACAATTCGTCTCGTCGAACCCTTGAAGAGCGGCTTTGGTAGCATCGGACCAAAGACAAGTGGCGCGAGAGCGGGAAGAAAAAGTAACTATGGGTCGGGTAAAGAAACTCTCAGATTCAAAGCAAATGGCCCGGCGACGATAGAGAACGAGGTAAGCAATTTTTAGGTTATCTAAAAATAAATCATGATGTAATGCATATGCATGAATCATTGTGTACTTGCATATTAATTCAGTAAATTATCGATAACAACCAATCAGGTCAATTGTAGTTGAGCAATCGAGCTTATCTGTTATCCCAACATTTGTTCTAGTTTAGAAACGAAGAACCGATTGTTTTAAACTTTGAATTGCTTCACAAACAGTGCATAACGGTTTGCTTTCTAATAGACTAAATTCACTGGCAAAAATGAATAATTTAGTATTTTCACCATTTTGCCAATCTAGATATTAAAATAAACACACTTTAAACTATAAATAAATTTAATTAATTTTAAATAATTTTAACTTTTCAGCACGACGAGAGATCACAAGCTGGGATAGATAAAATAAATGGCCTGTTGGAATCTTTTATGGGAATAAATGATACAGAACTGGCAACACAGATGTGGGATATAGCGGAGGGTAAAACGAATTCAATGCAACTGGCTGAAGCCATAGACAACAGCGATTTACAAGAGTTTGGATTCACGGATGAATTTATCATAGAACTTTGGGGTGTGATAACGGATGCTAGATCTGGCAGACTAAATTAGATAAATGAAATATGCCATGGCTGTTCATTATTTATTTAAAAGAAAGCTAAATGTTAGCTATATAATTTTAATGTATATGTTTAGCTTAATAGAGGCAAACTACGTTCTTAGCGGTATAGTTAAATTGCATTTAAAATTATGTATTTTACGTTATAGGTAATTTACCTAACGTTGTCATTCTGAAATATTTTTGGGCAATATAAAAGCAAAAAATATATACATGATCTAAGTATAAAACTTTTAACAACAGATTATAAATCTCGAGAAGTTAATGTGTTTGTTTTTCTCGCTATGTTTATTAAAAAATAATATTTAGTTCAAAATGGAGTTGAGTACAAAATAATAGAACAAGTCAATTATATTTCAATTTAAAAAGTTAAAGACCAAAATAGAAGGGACATGATTGAAAAAATATGTTAAAAAGAATTAACGTCAAAATATTGGAACTATATTAAACACCAAAATTCGAAGTTATAATTTAACGAAATTGCACTATAAAATGAGAAAAAAAACATTTTATTATATTTTAGAAAGGAATATAATGATTTTGTTAACCAAAGTATGAAGTGTTTTTTTTATTTATTACATATTGTCGATCACTCTAAAGAGAGATATTTAAAGAATTTTGATTATGTGATATTACAAATGTTTGATAAATGTACAAAATTAAAATACTATATTGCCATTTTTAGTAGGAAATTTATTTAAAAGAACTCCGGTATTTTTACCAATAATCCAGCCGAATAAAATTTATATACCTATACTAAACTTTTGTCGCCGGCAACATATCTCGAAGTAGATTTCAAAGATTTGCGAAAATGTCTTCTTGCATATTCAAAACCGCTACATATAGTGGTAGAATAGGCTCCGAGAAAGAATTAAATAGTGCAAAGATCGAGATTGATTTTTTTGGTATACTTATTTTGATCGTTCCCAATAAAAAAATGTCGTGATATCTACAATAATGTTATTTTTTATTAACGGGCGATATAAATTAGTACCCAAAGCCAATTTCGTTCTACAATGATATGAAAAATGGTTCAAAAAGGTCATGTTTTGTTATGAACGATATTTTTAATTGACAATTATTTGTATTCGATTCCAACGAGTCTTGTTACATATTTATATAAAGTTCAAATTGTCTATGACAAACGAGAGTATTAATATAGAAAGAGACAAAATATTTATTGATGAAATGTGTAAACAAAATTAGAGTAATTAATGAATTGTGTGCCTTGTACAGTACAGACTTTAGTGTAATATTTTAATATAAATAAATTATCAGATATAAATAGTATCTACGGCTGCATACCATTTACTACGATTTATAAATTTCACAAAATAAATGTTTTTATTTCACTGCGTTGTCTTTTTTTACTTACTAATACCACTGTACTGTCACAAGAATTGAAGGCAGTACTTTCACAGAATATTGTTGTCATAGATTTATAACCTAAGGTCTTCTCACAGCGAGCTTCTTTCTTTCCCGTCGAGCGACATGACAAGCGCTAAAGATGAATACAATTTATTCGTCTGTGGTTGTTGATCCAACAAAATCTTAATAATTCACTTACCGTAAGTTTCTGAGAACAAAATCTCTGTTTAAAACATGCTGATATTGAGCGCGACTGTACCACAGTATTTTTTTAATATATTCCCTTTGACTAGGGGTTTCGCGTTTCTCTGTAATATTTTCACCGCCCACAATATGTGTCTGTAAGTCAATGACCTGTCATAACATAACTATTATTAGAGCATACGCATAAGCATTTATTATCCATGAATTTCGACTGTTATCGCACATGTATTTCAACATACTGTTGTCTCTACTTTTACAAACAGAATGTAAAGGATGCCAATGTCTTTCTGTACAAGTGTCAAAAATGGAAACCCACTCTTAGAGGGATCTATGACTCTTCATCCGGCCTCGGCTATTCCTGGATTTAATTCTTAAGAATGCGTCTCCATGTTAAATCCAGTTATATCATGGATTCGAGTTTTAATTAAATGCGGCAAAACAAGAATAACAAGTTTATTGATCGGTGAACAAGCTTGATGAAATTAAAAGACTTGATGGAATATTTTTTAAAACATAACATAAACTATGTACTTATTTTCGAGTTACGGTATTTATAAATATTGAAAAATTTGCTACGACAGAAATCTGTAAACAACATAATATTTATTTCAAAATGCGTTATAAAATATGAACGCGTTCCATTCAACACATTCTTTAGGTTCACTATATCATACTAACTTCGTTTGATGAATATTATTTACATAAATTAAAAAGCGAAGTTATAAAGCGTCATTTTATTTAGTAATACATTATGTATCTTGATGACCTCGGTATGTTTGTCCGATTTGTTACATAAACAACTGATCACTCTTATCTGGTTCTTATGATACGCGGGTGGTGCCTGTTTGTATCATGACAATTGAAAGAATTAACGTCACAATTATTTACATTTATTTAAAGAAACATAAGGGAATTAATTTTTATAATTCTAGTGCGTCGCGTTAACCAAGTTTAAATAAAAACGTGAACCAGTTTTGTGGTGAAAATGTCTCTAACTTCTAGAAGGCTTGTGCTTCTAAAATTAAATTATCTGCCGAATTTGAAACTGTACAATGTTGCGAAGGTAAGATAAAATATTTTTCTTTAAGTTTTAATTTGGAATTTATGTTCATAGTAGATAATTTAGAAAAAGTTTTAATTTAAAAATCTGTCTTATTTGCATACCGTTTTTGGTTTTTACTTACAACATTATTGTATTTTAATGACAACATTAAATTGGCTGTTATAAGTTTACCGGGACTTTCAGATACTGACCTGCAGTTACAGTACCATAAGCAAGAGTAACAAAATATATCATAACATAAATGATGCTGTAAAAGATATCAAAGATGGGTCCAAACTTTTAGTTGGTGGATTTGGGCTTTGTGGAATTCCAGAGAACCTCATAAAAGCAGTAAATAAAACATGTGTGAAGGATCTTACTGTTGTGTCCAATAATGCAGGTAAATTATATTTAAGAATACACATAACTCACATACACAGAAACACATTACACATTTTCTTTGTTTTAATTGAGATACTGGCCCTGACAATATAATTTTTAGCACATAACATTCTACAATATACATAGTAAATTAAGACTCAATGTTTTTTTATTCAGTAATTTTGTGTTCTAGGAGTTGCCGACTTTGGCCTGGGCATTTTGCTAAAAGACAGACAAGTTAAGAGAATGATTTCATCATATGTCGGTGAAAATGCTGTGTTTGAAAAACAATTTTTAAGTGGTGAATTAGAGGTAAATTTAATATTGGGTATGGGATATGCATGCTAGATCTTGTGGAATATCAGCAATAATTGATGTCTTTCAACATTAATTGTTGTGAATTAATTATACATAATTATAAAAATGCTATATGTTCTAGGTTGAACTAACTCCACAAGGGACATTAGCTGAACGAATCAGGGCAGGAGGCGCTGGAATACCAGCATTCTTTACACCTACTGGTTTTGGAACTTTAATTCAACAAGGAGGAGCACCTATTAAATATACTAAAGATGGAAAAGTAAGTATGCTTAAGTACAAAATTAAAAGTAATAAACAAGTGTTTAAAATTGATGGATGAAGACATAAAGGTTTACTTACATAATTGTTTTTATATTTGTTAATATTTAAAAAAAACTATATAAATGCGAAAGTTTAGATGGATGAATGGATTGTTTGAAGGTATCACCGGAATGGCTGAAGGGATTTTGATGAAATTTGACACAGATGTCTAATATAGTTTGGAAGGACACATAGGTTACCCATTACGTTTTTTAATTCGCGTCATACAAGTCGCGGGCTACAGCTTCTAATTTATATTTTAGATTGATATACCAAGTGCTGCTCGGCATGTTCAACAATTCAATGGCAAGGATTACATCATGGAAGAAGCAATTACTGGCGACTTTGCATTAGTCAAAGCATGGAAAGCAGATAAATATGGAAATTTAATATTTAGAAAAAGCGCAAGAAATTTCAACCCAGCTATGTGCCGTGCTGCTAAAATAACAATAGCTGAAGTTGAAGAAATTGTTGATGAAATAGATCCAGACTTTGTCCACATACCATCTATATATGTACACAGAATTATTAAAGGTGATAAATTTGAGAAGCGCATTGAAAGGAAGACTGTTACCAAACCGATTGAACAAAAAGAGAAGAAATCATCTGATTTAATTCGAGAAAGAATTATTAGAAGAGCCGCTTTAGAATTCAAACATGGAATGCATGCTAATCTTGGAATTGGTAAGTTATAATTGCAATTTAAACAATTAAAAAAGAACTTAAGAGCTTGTGTGGATGATTAAATATTATCATGAGTTACTATTGCCACAATTATAATACCACACATTTAAAAAACAATTTTAAATTAAGAATTATGCAAATATGTGAATCATAGCTTTAAATATTTCATTGACTTTGTATAATTTATTTAACTTACTGTGGGTTTCTGAGACCAAAATCTTTGTATAAAACATATTATCATCCTACTTGACCTCATAATCCTCATTGACATAACATAGATGACAATATGTTCTAAATGGAGATTTATGTCTGGGAAACCCATGGTAATTCATTCAAGTATGTATTTCATAACTAATTATTAATTATATTTAATTGGTATTTTATCCTATTTTTTTTCAGGTATGCCCATGCTTGCCAGTAATTATATACCACAAAATGTGAAAGTACTATTACAGTCAGAGAATGGCATCCTAGGCCTCGGTCCATTCCCTACGGAAGAGGAAGTGGATGCAGATCTGATTAATGCCGGGAAAGAAACTGTAACTGTTCTCCCTGGTAAGTAGTTTAAGAGATATTATCCTTGTTTAAACTATATAATATATTTAAATATTTATGCGTTTATATACTGCAATTGATGGCAGGTGCCAGGGCACTTAATGTAGATTTCTTACATTAAATCTACACTAAGAGTTGTAACTTAACTCGAGAGGATACTTGAAATAAAAGACAATCCATCCTTCTATCCATACTTTTACATTCATAATATTGTAATTGTATGATTGCAGGCGCTTCATTTTTCTCATCGGACGACAGTTTCGGCATGATCCGCGGCGGACACATCGACCTGACTATACTGGGTGCTATGCAAGTCTCACAGTATGGGGACTTAGCTAATTGGATGATACCTGTGAGTTATTTTAATTTTAAATCTTTAAAATATATTTTTAACCCTAATTAAATTTCAATGAATTTAGTGGATTAATACAACTTGATACTTTTACAATATTCTGATTAAATGGTCCAATTTAAGTTTATTGGTTTTGATATAATTAATAGTTAACATATTGCGTACAACTGGTTACTTGAAATTATTAAATTTAAGTAATATTATTCAAATTGAAATTAAAAAAAAACTAAAAAAAAAAAATTTTTAAGGGTAAAATGGTGAAAGGTATGGGTGGAGCGATGGATCTAGTGTCCGCTCCGCGCACCAAGGTCGTGGTGACGATGGAGCACACCGCCAAGAATGGTGCACACAAGATACTGCCCGAGTGCTCGCTGCCCCTCACCGGCAAGAACTGCGTCGATATGATTATCACTGAAAAGGTAACGTTTTGTTTCTTTTGATAAAAATAGTTAATTACTAATATTTATTTTAAATTGAACTCGACGTGTGGTCCATGTTTCACAAAAATGGATAGTGGGAAACGAACTCACAACCAATAGACCAGTCGGTAGTCATCGTTAAAAAAAATATTTTTACTTTTTTATTCTTGAGATATTCAATGACACTATTAAAGTGAAATTACAAGCACTACATGTGCTAATCATTTTGTATTCTCAAAACGAGTAAATACTTCGATATGATCTTTTGAAAATCCCTTTTATTCCTCTCTGGGTCAATATTCGTTTAACTATTAGAAGTACTAAAATTGTTATAACTTTAATTTCAGTGCGTATTTGAAGTTGACAAAGAGAAGGGACTGATTCTGACTGAGCTGGCTGAAGGTGTAACTGTGGAGGATATAATTGTGAGTACTGGCTGCGAGTTCACAGCCGCTACAAAAATTAAAAAAATGGGTGACGTCACAAAACTTGAAGATATTCTCGAATAGTTCCAGAAAGTTCTGCCGCAAATACGTAAGCTAGTCTATATTTTCATAAAGAATGTTTTTTATATGTTTATTCTTATTAAGGATATTATATAATTGATATATTACGAATTTATACACATTTAAAACTTGTAATATAACTGAATTTTATATTGTTATCAATTTTAAATAAATTGTATACATTATATGTACTTATTTTAAATTGTATATTATATTTTGTACTTAGTATTGTATCTGTTAATAAAAAGTGTACTTTTATTATGATGCATTTTATTTGAAACAGCAAAAATTTGTGAAATAGCCAAAAAAAATTAAGTTTACGACATTTCCGTAAAATAATTCGGTTTTTAATAGATATGTGACCTTGCTATTCACATACTCTTTGCTAATTAACTATGATTGATGTCAGTTTGTGTTTATTTATGACATATCTTAAGAACCTCTAGGATTTTGGTGAGAAATATTTACATGATTTTTATACCTACATATTGGATATTATGGTGGCAAATCAAAACCATCCGTTTGTTTTATGGGGAGCTTGTTTTTTGTGGTTCATATCGATGTTGTGTATAATTTGGTCTCTACTTTTATTCTTCTGTGAGTATGCACTGAGTTAATGGTTAATGGGTAAATAAAACCAGTTGCAATATATATTTTTTAATTTTTCCTTACAGTTGTGGGCAATATTCTTGTGCAGACAGGAACGGATTTGGTTAACGCGTTTGTATTGCTGTCAGGAATAATAACTTTACCCACCAATGTGCACATTTTATATTCTATAGCATACGGTATCCGAGTCGAGTACGGTTTGATTTAATCTATTTATTTAAAACATATCTTTGTTACTGATAAATTGTAGAATTTGTAATCTTCTTTTTTATAAGAGAAGGGGGCAAACGAGCAGCGAGAACATCGACCCACATGGACATCTGCAATACCAAAGGAACTGCGGATACGTAGCCGATCTTTACATTTCTTTATCTAAACCAGTGGTTCCCAAACTCATTTTGTATTCTGCCCACTTTGAGAATAAATATTTTTTTAGCACTCCCATATTTTCACATATTTAAAAACCACTATAACTTCAAATTAAATTAATTAATTATTGTGACCTATATATGTATATTAACGGAGAATTCTAAACGAAACTTTTACTATAACCCGCAACTTGAGACCTGCAGCGCCCGCAAGGGGGCGTTATCTCCCACTTTGGGAAAGACTGATCTATGCAAACTCTGCAGGCTTCTTTATAGATATTGTGCCTACTCTCTTAATAAATATTCCAGGCTTAAAAGTAAAGTAATGTGTTGTCCATTATGGTTTTGTATAATATGGATAATTGTCATCAACGCCGTTGGCATTGTCTTGTGTATAAAAGTAATACATTCGTGCGAAGAGAATACGGTAAATAGTATTGGCCACGGTATGAAATATTATAGAAGCATTCCGAAATATAAAAACTTTATTGACAATGTTCAATGGTCGTTACATTGTTGTGGGGTAAGTTCGCACTACCGAAACGTTTACAAAAAACATGTTAAGGCATAAATCTCTTTGTATCATTTTTATAATATGCGTTTCCAGCTTAACTCGTACAAAGATTGGTTCAAACACGAGTGGTATGATAAAATTCGAGATTACGAATGGGATCCTTTTACGAATAGACAAACTGTAAGAAGTTTGAAGGAGGCCACTGACAGTGTTCCTTTGAGGTAACTACTTTTTTTTACTTTTGTCATGACAGAAATTAAGATGTTACAGTTACGTTCATGGACTTTTAACAGTTGCTGCAAAAGTGGTTCTTGTATATCTAACTTTCTAACCGAGTTGGGGACATATTCGATAAATACTGCTGGATGCGGCCACAAAATGTACCACATCATCAGGTGTTCGATGTATGCGCATCTTTTCCTCTTCACCTTGGTGATTTTAATCGAGGTAACTTGTGTTTTAATAACGCTAACTATTATTTTTTTACAAATTAGTCATAAGTTTTATTTTCCTATGCCATTACTTGAAATTTTTTTATGAAATTGTGTCTAAAACAATGTTTTAGATTCTCATGCTTAAATTTATTGCGCGGAGAGACGATAGTGATAGTTGTAAGAAACTTAAAAATAATGTTCAACGTATAATGTCAGTCAATAACAACTTTGAAGCATCGAGCAGTTCGTATCAAGTGAATCCAGAGGATAGCGAAGATTTAGAATTATCAAGAGAATATGAAAAAGATTAAACCAATATATGTTTGCAATTAATAGAAATAGTTAAAATAATTTTTCATATTTTTATTTAAGGCAACTAAAAATCATTTTATATTATACGGATTGTAAATCGATTGATGATTTTAATCCGTTCGATTAAAATTTCTCGTCTGCCATTGGATTGGCAACATTTGATTTGGTTTTTGACAGTGACAGATATCAGAAAATAGTGTTTGATTTGAGGTTGTTTTTGTGCAACTAGCACTTTAAATTTAGCAATTTTATTGCTACAATTAAGTAGTTCTTATAATCTTGAACAAATACCAATTATTTGAGTTATTAAAGTACAAAATGGTGTTTCTGACTGTAACTAATTTAATTCGCGTTCGTGGGCCTGATGAAATTTGGAGAAAAAGAAAAATATTCAGATTAGCTGCTGCCTTTATTGGGCGTCGCAGAAATTGTTATTCTGTGGCCGTCCGTAATGTTCATCGTGCTTTGGTCTATGCTACAAAAGCACGCAAATTAAAGAAAGAAGATATGAAAGAACTGTGGAATACTCGGATAACTGCTGCTTGTGAGCAGCACAATATAAGCACGTTTACTTTGAAAGAAGGTTTAGATCGCTCTAATATTATGCTTGATCGTAAGTCTTTGTCAGACTTAGCAGCATGGGAACCACGTACATTTGAATGTCTTGCAGCAGTAGCACAAAAGAAGTTGGAAATTGATGGATTTATAGACGGGGCTGACAAAAAACATCCTACCGGAGTTAATTTGAATCTTAAGGATGTAATGTTAGAACAATGGTTAAAAGAAAAGAAGTAGCTTTTATTATTTTAGTAAATATTTTTAAGGTAGTGAAATAAATATCATTAGTACTAACTAAATGTTTTTTATTTATTACTTATGAAGTCTTCAGTTCCTTCTTTAGCTGCTTTGTTAATTCATTTTGCTGTTGTAATAAATATAAATTCTCTATTTTTCTCCTCTGTTGTCTCTCAGTATCTCGTATTACACCTTCATGCATTTTTTCTCTGAAAAATTGGGAATTTAAGGATCATTCTTGTTTAGCACCTCATTTTCTGATAATATTTTCTGGCTTAAGATGTAAAAGAAATTTAGTAAAATAATTGTTATGTAATATCAGATGTTTAAATGGAATTTAAAGTGATCTTGTTTAGTTGCTACATTAATTTTCGTTTACATTTTAAGCAACGAGAGGTATCGAATCAATATTTGAAGAGAAATAAATATACTATAAATTTACTTGTTCACCATTTATTTACTTTAGAATTTTTTCCTTTTGACTGGACATTATTATAATTACCTGTCTGATTGTTGCTTAACGTGCACGTAAGTAATAATTCCCCCCGTTGCAACACAAGTTAAACCTAACACTAGCTTTGATGTCTGTGACGACATTTCTATCCTGGTAAATTATCCTTTAATTAATTATTAATTTGAAAATATTGGTTTTAGTAAACAAAACCGAAGCTGTTGACATGGTGCAGCAATGGTACATTTTGACGTTGACAGTTGTACGGTGTGAGTAGATTAAGTAAATGTCATTAACATTTCAACAGATACAAAAAATTCCGATCATGATCAATTTTTCAAAATAAAAACTTTTAGCGCATTACTGTATTTGTGCAATTTTCAATATTTGAATTTAAGCTATTGCCTACCTCCATATATGAATGTTGAGGTGTTTCAATCATTTTTGTTTTAGGTAGAAAGTAAATGAAGATTCGGGTATTTTTTAAATTCGTATATTGTTACAAAATAAATATAATATTAAATAAAAAATACGCTTTTAAATTATTTGAATCTTAACATTAACGTAAAATTTATAGTTTCTAATATTTACAAAGTCTTAGGGATAATCGTTGATTAAAAATGATTAAGTATTTTAGAATGAAGAGCTAAAATGAAATTCACAGATTCTTAAAAATATTGTTCATCACACGTCATGGTTTTAAACAAACATCACATTTGAGAAAATTATAAGATCATAACTAAGTCATTAAAATTACCACGTCACAAAAAGTTCCAATCGCAAATCACAATTTGAGGCACTGACTTTGATCCCTTTCATTATCGACGACTTAAAGCTTTCCTTATTAACTTGCAATAAATAATGGTGCTAGCGTCACTTGTATGGCACGGCTACCTGTTGCAGTTGTCGTAGAAACTTGCGGAGCCTCTGTTAGGAATTTCAGCAAACTCACGCTTCGGCGTGCACAATTTACTGCTGAAATCTACATTTCTTTTCCTGCAGAAAAATATACTATGTTAAGTAGTTAAACTTAGAAATAAAAATTTATTTGTATTTTTTTTAAATTTGCTAACATAGATAATAAAATATTCTGTGGCACCAAACCCATTTTCGTCCCATAGCGCTAAACCTGAGTCTTATCCTAATTAATAGCTATCAGTTGCTGCATAGAAGTTTCAACAGATAATATAAGATTTACCCTCTACTTGGCAATTCCATTTGGTCAACGAGAACCGATTTGACGTAGAGACGGTCGTTGCACCACAGGATACAAAGAGATCGCGGCTCCAGTACATTCATGTCGTACTCCCACGATAACTCTACCTGGAAACAGATAAAACAATATTTTTAAAGCACTGACCTCTACAGACCGGCTATAAGACGTAGAATTTTGTGCTTGTTTGATATTCGCCATTTTGGCGCTGATGGTTTCGATTGCTAGCGGTGGTGAGGATTTGAACTAATAATAAATATAAAATTCTATCACGTAACATTAACAATTGTCTATCCATGTGGAGGAATTTTATTTCATCTATTTATTACTTTTTTTTTAATTTTAAAGTAAAAACAAACAAAAATCATACTTTTCTTATTTTACCGCCTAAATCTACAGGATGTGTGACAACTATTGTGTATGTTGTCCCATGTTCTAATCTGAAAAATTATAAATAAATAAGTGTCAAAGGATATATGTTTGTAAATTAATTATGAAATGTATCTTCACAGAAAAATATACGTACTTGACATAATTACTTGGCGTCAGATCCATTCCCCTGATTACTCCTCTCTCTGACATTAGTGTCACTTTAAGGAAACCCTGTTGATTGAACAAATACAGCATAAAAATATAAAAAATGTAATTATTACAACCCGTTTCATGCAAAATTAGATAAATGGTAAAAAATCCATAAAATTACCTGAACCCAAGATTCTGCTCCTTTTGGATTGGCTAATTGTATAGCAACTTTATAATGTCGATCTGCAAATAAAAATATCCACGTATTTATTAATTAACTTGTTTATATTATAATTTGAAATAAAATTTAAAAAATAATTTTATTAAAACTTACGACAAAATGGTTGTTCTTTTCCGGTACTTAAAAAGTATTTAGCGCCGATTGTTTCTTGTTCTTCAGATGGAAAAACCTCGTTTTCCGATTGATTGTTTTTGTTGGCGATAAGACCAGGAGAACTGTCCGCGTGGAATCTAAAAATAAAATAAAAATGCAAATTTATGGATGAATGGATGAAGATGTCTCGAGAACGGCTCAACGGAACTCGATGAAATTTGGCATGGACGTAAAACATAGTCTGGAAGAACGCATAGGCAACAATTAAGTAATAAAAACTTACCCCATTATTGCACAACCATGCCCGCAGTGAAAACATTTACCAGACAGAAAATGTTGGTATGATGGACATTGGTGACCTAAATAAAAAAATACAAAATTCAAATAACCGTTAAGATTAATGTTAAGGTTCAAAATAAATATTTTTTTGCTTACCAATGTATGGACATTTTCCATTGATGGATTCTGTGAATAGCTTGATAGCTCTGACATGATTGCAGGCGACGAGCACCCTCGAGGCCTCCTCCAGGCCTTGCTTGACGAGCGTCAGTGGTATCAAAGGGCCTTCAGTGAGATCACATCCTGGTTGCTCCTTCCCATTGTTTGGATAAAAATCTAAATGCCCTACCGGCTGCGACATCCCATATCCTGCCATAAATACAAAATCTGTCGCACGCGTGGGATAAACAGGTCGATGATTAGTGGAATTATGCGATAAATATTTATGAATTTCAATATATATTTATATAACTACATGAAATGAATATATCAACGGCGAGAAAGCATATAATACATATTTACAAAATATACATAAGTATTACATTGTTATATTGTTAATATGAAGCAATAAGCGATTTATTTACACCCAATAAGATTAATTTAAATGAATCTACTAAATACCACATATAAAATGAATGAAAGCAAGTGTAAACGTTAAACAAAATATTACCTAATAGGAATATGCTTTTTCCGTCAGTGTGAATGACATCTACGAATTCAGCATCAGTAGGATCTAACCTGACGTGTGTTGGCATTCCTTGAAAATATGGCTCGGCTGGATCGAGACCAGTTATCCTTCCTAATCCCTACAATATAAGAAGCTAAATCAAAGACAGTATGAAGATCCTGTTTCAATGAATTAAGATTGCTATTTATAAGATGTGATACTCATTTTTGGCACACTTACTTGAATTCTCTCCCCGGCGTAGCCCGCTGTGTGAGCGCCCAAAGAGTGGCCGATGATGTGTACGTCCAGTGGATTTAAACCATGATCTTTCTGTAATATATTCATATTAATTTAATCTTCATCAATGAGAAATTTTAATAGTAGCTTCCTGTTTATATCAGCTACTTTCCACCAGAAATTCCGTGAAAAACTTTGCACCCGCTTCGAAAATTACTTGGGACATACGTCTTATAGATTACATTTTTTTTACCTGTAATGTGTTGATAAAGTGCGCTACTTCTAATCCAACCAGCCGCGTGTTGGCTGTCGCCTGCGTGTAAAGCGGCAGACTGCCGCCCGCCCAGTCCACCACTATTACGTTGAAGTCATCCGCTTTCACGAGCTCGTCTTTCATCTCGCTTACCTAATAACAAATTATATTCTTATAATAACCGAGTCTAAAATCTCGAACAATAAGGTTATCTCAGTTTTATCAAAGACAAGCAGTCACCCGCGACTCCGTCAATGTGCAATGAAGAAAAAACGTAATTGTTCCCCGGCAATTATTCGAAATTATCTCACCTTTTAAACCTGCTCTAGACCTACACGAACATTTCAAGACCAAGATAAGATGAATCCATTCAGCCGTTCTCGATTTTTAACGAGACTAACGAACAGCAATTAATTTTTATATATATAGATAATTACAGGGATGACGATATACGTGTCAGAAACCCACGGTTAGACTTCATACTGAAATAACTTCAGCTTTATAATCTTAAAGATGTAATCGAGAGATGGTTTCAACTTAGTTTTGTGTAAGTATAGGGTCTTTCCGTTTTTTGAAGGTTCGACATTCTTATATAAAATAAGCAATGACATCATGCCCCTAGATGTACTTTTTTATGTCATAAACTGATAGACTTTACATAAGAATTGAGCATAGAGTCCATAAAAAATGTTTACAATCTGCCGTGACGTCACAATTTTTTATTGTTGTTAGTATAAATACTATCACATATCTTGGTAGCTCTTAATTATGCTGGAGTGGCTGCGCAGAACACAATTATAGGTGTAGTTTGGCGAAGCGGATTGCGAAACTGGGCCGCCAAGATATTCGAAAAGAATTATACTAACAGTGAATAAGGATAAATTATATTAAATTGAATCTTACCCAGTTGGATAGTGGCGTGTCTATGAAGCCGTGTATTATCAACTTTGTCAAACGTTTTGGGCTGAAGTTAGACTTGATAATAGTCTTATTCATATTTACATTTAGTATTTGACCGTCTGTTGGATTCTTCTTTGTGTACAAAATGAATCTGAAATAGGTATTGACATAATGAGAAATTATGTATACAGGATGT